GCTTCAATTTTAAGAATGCCCTAGGGGTTGCTTTGGTTAGAGAATTCAATTACATTTTCGGTTTCACAAATGTGCACTGTGTGACCAGCCCTGACCAGAGAACATTTTTGTAATGCTATAGAACTTTAAGTCTCCCAGCTGTTTACATTGACAAGCCTCATCCAAGGTCTTGTGTGGTCTTCTCAGAAATTTGGGGTGTAGCTGGAAGATGGAGCACTGCCTCAGGCCAGGGGGCAGCATCCATGTCTTCTGTGAGTAAGATAAGTGTATACCCTGTACCCTGTCCCATGTGCCAACCTCCAGGGACACCTGCCATGAATAAGGCCTCCTTAAGGACCTGGAATCCATGTGTGCACCGAGGAGTAGCTTTGGAATAGGATGCTTGCTACACCTCTCTCTGCTCAGGGGCATCCAGACCAAGGCTCGGGCACGGGCATGGGCACCTGTGTCCTGCTCCCCCTCCCAGGATGGCAGATTGGGTGCTAAAGCAGCTGCTGAGGTGATGTTGAAGGGCCAGCTGAAGCTCTACCCAGAAGTTCAAAGGCCTGGAGGCTCTGGGACTTTCTCATGGAGCACTCCTGGGGCAGCACGCTGCTTCAGCGGTGGCATGACCAATACGTGCCAGAGCTAAAGGAATGTTTTCCACTCCATCCACAACAAATAAATGATGTCTATCTACATGAGGAGAGAAAGACAAAACATCTGCCTCTGCATACAGAATGGCAAATGAAAGTCCTCCACATATGAGGATGTATGAAAGAAGATGAAGTAAAAAAATGAAGTTAGAAAGGTGGGTACACAGTAAAGTTGCAGTAGTAATAATAATTATTGATATTTAGAATGCTGTGTTTCTGGATGCCCTTTAAAATGTCTTATTTGTTGTATTTTCTTTTCTCATTCTAAACAGATATATCTCTTGCACCTAATTTTATGTTCTTATTCATAAAAAGGGCATCACATTTTATCCACTTCATACAAATCTGAATCTACCTTTCATCGAGATCTTTTCCCTGAAAAATAGTGCTGAAAACAGAACATAAGAAGTCAGCAAAGTCACGATAAACCAGTTCCCACCTGGGAATTAATTTAGAGTATTAAATCCTCACCTCCTCCTACATGGTCTTGAATTTATTAAAAAAGCTTAGAAGATTCAAATGGCAACAAGGGGTGTTCAAAATACGTGTATCCATAGGATCTGCCACACAAGCTTTTCCAGAGAAAGCCAAATACTAGCTCTCTCTTCCTAGCACAGAAGAAGATAGGTTTGCCTCGATCTGTTTTTGGAAGGAAATTACTTTAAAAGTGCAAAGCTCCAAAAACTGAACAGCATATCATTTTGTCAGTGTGTATCTTTTGAAATCAATTATTAATACAGAGGTGGCCACTTTCAAATGCCTTTGTACACCACATCGACTGATATTTTCCATCAGTTCAGAAGGGAACAGCCAAGTGGAAAGCCAAGGAAGGGAGGAGAAATGCCTGCTCATTTTGTTGCCACAAAACCAAAAGACTCTTGATTTATCAGTATGTGTGGCACACTCTTTAGTGTGCTCGGGGGATGTGGTGAGGGTAGAGTGGTGGAAATAAAGTTGTAAATGTTATAAATGCAAGTCCTCTAAAGTAGGCCAATTGGTCAGCTGTGAACTTGGCAGCATCCTGAGGCATGTGTGCTGGGCAGCTTCAGAACACGATGTTCTATTTCACTTCTGAGAGCAGAGAGTAGAATAAGGGCTCAACCCAGGACAGGGAAGGCTCAGCACAGACATGAGAGGGGCTAAAAGAGAAAGGAAACGGAAAGAAAGAACAGCAACATCATTACACTGCTGACCACAGAATTGAGAGAGAGAGAATATTAAAGTCCCCAAGAGAGAACTCTGATCCTGATGTCTGCTGAAATTATGTTCTGGAAAATTTAGAGTAGTTGTGTGATTGATGATTAAAAGTAATAACTGGATGCTTTATGTAAGAGTAATGATGAAATTTTGCAAAAGTACTTGGAAATAATGCTGTGTCTATAAACTTTCAACTATAAAGATTCGTGGCAAAAAGAAAAGATTAGAAAATAGTTCAAAATAGATTCCTTTAGTTCTAAATTGAATAATTTGCTGGGCCTTTTTCAAACCAGAATTTATATTTCATATTGTTTGAATTACTGCTTTTGTTTGCTACTGAATAAAATGTTAATACAGGACATATAAAAACAGATGAAAGTATTTGGCATGTTTGGTTAATCTCATATTTTCAAATGATTCTGAAAAAATCACGAAAACTAAAAAGTAAGAATTAAAGGGCCGATAACAAATTATACTCAAATTTATAAAACATATTATGGAAAGTTAACAACGATTTATACCTTGAGGATTTTTTTAACCAAAAGAGTTTGAATTATGCTACTGTGACATTCTGTTAGACAGAATCATTTATAGCTGATAGCACGCAATGAATAAATTCACATATGCTTTTCTTCACTATCTGATATGGTCAGTAGCTTGAAAGGACAGAGAGCAAACTAGTGTAATTGCTTAATTCCACATGTGTGCTAACACTTAAAAATATTAAATTGAAAATAACTTAGTAAAGAATGTCCCTGTGCTTGATTTCTTGCACAGAAGAAACACAAGTATAAATGCAAAAATCGTTTTGACTTAGTCGTATTTCTTCTTTCGTGTACACAACAAAAGACAAAAACAAAACCAAAAAGCCACCTATTTATCAGTGTAAAAAAAAAACCCTAGAGACTGCAGAGCCCAAAAGACTCAGCTGGTCTTTGTAAAAGAGTTTATAGCTTTCAGCTGAAATCTCTAAGTGCGAATTCTCCTTCTCAGCTGCTGGCTCTTGGTGAGCTCCCTGTGACCTCTGACCCCATTTCCATGGAGACAGAGGTGGGAAGGGTAAAAAATAAGGGGGAAACTTTTTAAAGGGGGCATTTCCAAATCCCCACTCCTCGGATACTAATGGCTCTCCCAAACTGGCCACACATCAATCATTCAAATTCACTTTCAGTTCTTCAAGGTTAAATGGAAACAGGATATTTGATCCTAAAGATAGATAATTTATAGAGACACAAAAAAGTAACCTCTCTTTTTGATGCTGCTTAATTGAGGCTCAGAATGAAGGTTAAAAATGGCTGCTGATGTTTAACAATGGAAAGAGACTTCTACCATTATCCAGGTTCTGGTTTTTGGCTGAGTGCCATGAATGTTATGTCTCAGAACTATGCAGCCTTCTCCTGCTGTGGAGATTGGCATCCTTCCAAATATTAGAAACTTGGGATCTTCGTGAGGAAAATTTTTTTAAAAAGTGATTTTTTTTTTTTTTGCTGGATGTAGTGACAAATACCTGTATCCCAGCACTCTGGGAGGCTAAGTCAGGAGAATCCCAAGCTGTAGCACAGCCTTGGCAACTTGGTAAGACCCTGTCTCAAGAAATAGTGCAGTGTACTAATAAAATAAAATTTTAAAAAGTGGGGATCTGGAGATACAGCGCAGAGCAAAGGCCCTGAGTTCAATCCCCAGTACTGCAAAAAAGTGGGTTTCCCCACTTTTTTATCAGTATGTGTGGGATATATATATCCCACCCCTCACCTACCAGCTTTTGTTCTTGACCATTTATCTGAAGCTAGTAAAAATAAAAATAATGATGATACTGTAACCACTACTATATCACCAGTTCTACAATAAGTTACCACAGCCATGTATTGCATCATCCTGCTATTTATAACATGCATTTATAACATGCATTTATAACATCCAGCCATATATTACGTACCTGCTACTGTAAAATTTTTGCTCATTTCACATAATTTTTGAAAAAAAAAAACATATACAAAAGAGAGAGAATTGTTTGATGAATCCTATATTGTTTTTTGTTTGCTTGCTTGTTTGTTTTGAGACAGAGTCTGCTATGTAGTGCAGGCTGGCCTTGAACTCACTTATGTAGCCCAGGTGGGCCTCAAACTGATGAGAATGCTCCTGCCTCAGCCTCCTGAGTACTGGGATTACTGGTGTGTATCACAACACCTAGCTGAATCCTATATTCTTATTACTCAGTTATGATAATCTCTACTAATAGACATTCCTGTCTGATTTTTTCCCCCATCTGTTCCTCCATTAGCTTGAAGCAAATTTAGGATATTTTTATCCATAAATATTTTAGTATGTATTTGTAAATTATAAAGCCTCATTAAAACAACACACACTACCATTATTATTCTAAAAATAAATAACAATTACCTATTACCAACAGATATCAAGTCAGTGAGATGGCTGAGTTATTTATGGTCATTCCATTCATATCCTTTTTCTTTCTTCACATTTTATACATACAGAAACAGAGAGAAGGGAAATTTAACAATATCTCATAGAAGATACGTAGGAGACCCTGGATTAAAACCCAGATAGAGCTAAATGCAAAGCCCATGTTTACTTATGTAACCTCCCAGATCAAAAGACTTATAATAAAAATGCGAGCTAATTACATTTTTTGTGTAATTCGTATGTGTTACACTTTGTTCTGTTTCCTTGTCTTTACTCAAACCTGACAATAGTACAATGAGGAGATAAGGGACGCAGAACAGAAGGGTAAAGCAACAGCCAGGAAGTGGCGTTTTCTGTTAAAGGGGTCACTCACTCACATGCTCATTCATTCACACACGGACTTTTCATTTATTTTTGTTCTATCAATCAATGCATGCAGATACATAATATAGTTTCACTGTTTAAAACTCATGGGGTTCAGACACGTGGTACCCTGCAATCCCAGCCTGTAATCCCAGTACTCCGGGACCACAAGTTTGAGCCCAGCCTGGGCCACTTAGTGAGGCTCTGTCTTAAAATTTAAAAAAATAGATAAAAAGGACTGGGGATATAGTTCAGTGTGAAGGCCCTGCATTCAATCCCTAGTACCGCAAAAACAAAAACAAACCAAGAACCCCCCGCAAAAAAAACCCCAAAACCCCCAAAACCCCCCAAATCCTGGAGGTTCAAAACAGTGTTCCTTACCATCCAGGTCCGATACCGAGAGGTGACCATTATTTTCGGTTTCCTGAGGAGCTTTCTGTAGATATTTTATGTACATATGAGCAATGCAAATCCTTTCCCTCCTTTTCTTACAGGGAAGGCAGCACACTGTAGTACTGTCCTGTACTCCAGGGTTTCACTTGGAGCCTTGCAATTCTCTTTTGCACAGAACCCTCACTACACCATCCTGCCCATTCACACTGGCAAGAACACCCAGGCCTAAGTCTCTAAGTCTTTAAATCTTAACTGCCATGTAAATATTTAATGTTGAGTTGGAACTTTCATGTTTTCCTTGCTCATACTTTGAGCCCGCCTAAGCACTCTAAAATCAATTCATTCTGCTCTCAGTGCCTTAGGCAATGCCCTGGAACTTACAATAAAGTAAAACACACAGAATTGTGTTCCCTGAGATCCTAGTAAAGTTTTCTATTAAAAATAATACAATGTTCTAATCAACTACCCTTTAGATTTTCTTTAATGTGCTCCTTTCACTTTGAGGTTAACCATTTTAAGTGTTGTCAGCGAGGAGGGAAGATAGCTTGCAGTACAATACAATACTGATTGACATGGAACATAGAAATAAAATATAAAGATATTTTAAAATAGTTCCACTGAGACTTTCTAACCACATTGGTTTGGGGCCATAATTGCCAGAATCTGTACAGTATTTTAGAAGATCCTAAATTGGCGTTGCTGTCAGGTGCCTGGCAGTGGAAAACACGAATCCTGAAAATCTAGGCCTGCAATGAATTCCAATATGTAAAGTTTCATGGACCATCTAGTATTACTATTCTCCCCATAACATAAAGAAATATGTCACTATGAACAAGAGTCAGCCAAACAGCCAGATGTGGTGGTGCATGCCTGCAGTCCCAGCACTTGGGAAGCCAAGGCAAGAGGATCGCCCCGAGTTCAAAGCCAGGTTGGGCTCTAGAAATAGTGAGTCCCCATTTTTTTTTTTAAAACAAACAAATTACCAAAGACAAAACTATAGAAACAGATTCACAGATACAGAGGACACAGAAATTATCAGTAGAGTTAGAGAAAATGCCGTTTTAGAAAAAAAAAGACTTGAAAGAGAAGAAAAGTACAAAAGTCAAGAGATATTGAAAATGGGGTGAGATGATCAGATTGCTGGAAATGAAAGCAGGAAGAATGAAGAAGATGCAATATTTGACAAGAAAATTATTGAAAAGGAATAGATTTTAAGTTATATAAAAATTGTCAAATTGAGTTGGTATCTTTCTTAAAAGATTGTTCTTAGATTGAGGCATCCAACAAAGCCTAAACATGTTAAATGGAAATCTACGCTTAGACACTAACTGAGCAAATGTAGAAGCAAAACAAAAAAAGAGAAAGTATCTGTTATAGAAAAAGACAGGTTTACTACAAAAGAAGAGCAATTAATTTGACAGTTATTTCTCAATAGCTACATGGAAGTGAGAAGTTATTGAAATATGATTTTAAAATTGTTAGAGATAAAATATCTGTCATCATAGAATTGTTTGCACAGTAAAAACATCATTTAAAAATAGAACAAAATGAAGAACTTTTCACACAAAAATTAAGGGAATTTTTCCACCACCAGATCATCACTAAAAGAACTCTTACATGAGACATTTTTTATGAAGAAAGAAAATGACCTGAAAAGACCTGAATTTTAAGGAAAATGAAGCAACAAAATTAACAGTGTGTTGGTAACTAAACATCAATGACAGAATAAATAATAGTTTCAATTTATGGGATTAAAAACAAAAATTAAATTCTTGATCAAGAAAATATGTTAGTAAGAGTGTTATTTAACATTAAAACATTAGAAGCTTCTCTTCAGGATAGAGATGTTGATTAAGATTAGATTCTTAGGACTTCTGGGAAGATGGCAGGGTGGTGAGCAGCAAAGAAAAAGCCTCTCTGAGATTTGGTGTCTAGATGAATATAGCAACATGAGGAAGAGAAAAAGGAGGGAAGTGGGTGCCTGGGACCAGGAAGGGTCTGAAGTGAGAACTGAAGACCATGGAGAGAGCAAATGGAGATACTTCAAAGAAGAGGAAGGAGGTAACAGAAGGTGCTTTCTCCCTGAGCTTAGATTCACTGGTGCAAGGGGGGGGCCTTAAATCCACAGCTGCACGATGACTATTATTGACCCCCGAGGCCTCCACAGAGAAACGCACCAGTGGAACAGAGCAGTGGACACAGCAGACCGCAATGCCTGGTGAGTTACTTGGGTTCAGATCCCCTCCAGAAGGGGTGAATGGCTGGTAGTCATCTTGGACAGGAGCCAACTGAGCTCAGAACTCAGAACAACTGAGGGACAGTTCCATGTAGCAACTTGCAGCAACAGGGTCAGGGAGCCAAGTTCAACTTGGCTGGAAGTCAGGGAGCCGAGTTCAGGCTGGCAAGAGGCACACAGACTGCTGCAGACTGAACAAATCTGGTTCCAGCCTCACAGCCAGAAACCTTTAGTTCAGTGGAACTAAAAATGCAGGATGGCTGGGATTATCCACTACCCCACCCTAAAGCTGTGGCTGGCTTGCTGGGATTGATCAACTTGGATCAGGGCCTGTCTGCCCACAGTCTACCAGTGACAGCAGAGACACCTTGACATGGACTTTTTTTTTCTTATTTTCTTTTTTTTTTGTTTTCTTATTTTTGTTTCTGTTTTGTTCTGTATTATTCCTCATTGTTCTTGTTTTTATTTGAATATGAACATGGTTTCTAGTTTTTTTGTTCTTAATCTTCTACTGTTTTTGTTTCTTCCTTCTCTCTTTCCCTCCTGTCTTCCTCACTGGTCTCCCAAAGTTTGTGTGATCTTCCTTTGTCCTCCAGCCTTGCTTCTAATCTCTTCCTCTTCTATTTCTCTATTTTACCCACTAGCCCTTTTTAAGTTTTCTCCTCTGAGGGTAAAATCACCATTAAGAGCTGATTTACTGTACACAATTTTCTGGTTCGTTTGAGATTTTGTTATCTAACAACAAACCCAGTTCATATGGTTAAAGGTGGCAAATAAATAATTACCATAGTTTGTCATTTTCTAGGTTGTTTGATACCAGTGTTACTGCTGACTGTGCTACATTAGCCAAAGTGACATAAATGTTCTAATCAATTGTTCTTCCTGACATACCAAGACTGAGATTGCCTAAGGGTCATAAACAATACTATACACCAGTGCCAAAAGACCAGGGGCTGAGCTAAGAGGGCAGAAATTTCTCAGCCCCAATAAATTGAAGAAAAAGGATCTTCCAACAGTCTCAAAACCCAAAAGCTGGCTACATCTGAAACATCACTAAGAAGTAGTCATTTCCTAAGTGTTCTAAATTCTAGCAATAAAGCTACTCACCATAAGCAATTTACAATCATCAACTCGGTAATTAAACTAAGAAAACAAAAACAAAAACAAAACAGAAAATGAGAAGACAATAAAGCAAGATGCAATCCCAGATTTCAAGCCCATCAAAGGCAAACTCTGGAAATAATGAGGTGGAACACTTTGAAAGCCACCCACCTATACTCTGAAGTGGTAACAGAGGAAGTAACAAAGCTGATGAATCAGGCTATAGAAAAAATCAAATTATCAGAAATAATTTCTCAGATGACTACAGAGATGGTGACCATAAGGAAAGACATGCTTAATGAAACTAGAGCAGATACAGATTGAAAATAGAGGAATTTAGGAAAATGATGGAAACTATGAATGTCTAACAGGGGAAAGAAATGGAATCCATAAAACAAATTCCAACAGATTTCCAGGAGATTAAAAATCCCACTCAAAATATATGCAGCAGTCAGGCACTGTATCGCTTCTCCACTGTTGTTGGGAGAAGGCGCTTTCTCCCAACAACAGTGGAGACTGGTGCAACCACTGTGGAAATCAGTGTGGAGATTCTTCAAAGAATTAGGATTAGAGGGCCCATTTGACCCAGCTATTCCTCTTCTGGATATTTTCCCAGAAGAACTAAAAACATCATATCACAGCAATATATGTGCATCCATGTTTATAGTATCACAATTTGTAGTAGCTAAATCTTGGAAATAACCAAATTCCCATCAACCAAGGAATGGATGAAAAAGATGTGGTATTTTTATACAATGGAGTACTACTCAGCTATAAAGAAGGATAAACTTGAGGCTTTTATAGGTAAATGGATATAACTAGAGACCATACTCATAGTGAAATAAATCACATTCACATGTGTAAACAGCATATTGTCTCCACAGTGTAAGAAACTGAAAGAGGAAATAAGATCCAAAATCTACAATAGATATTGTGAAACAGAAAGAAACTGCTCAATAGGAAAGAATAACTGAGATGGAGGAAATGAAAAAAGAAGGAAGAGAAAAGAAAAAAATACACACACAAGATAGCTAAGATAATTATACTACTAATTTCTTTTAGTTCATTGAAAAGACTGGCTTGTGCTTATATTGTTTGATCAGTTTTGCGTGCCTATTTTTTTTTTTTTTTTTTTTTTGCGGTACCAGGGATTGAACTCATGACCTTGTGCTTGCCAGCAGGTGCTTATGTCACTGAGCTATATCCTTAGCCCCTACATGCTTATATTTTGTAATCTGAGCAACTACTTTAAAGGTAACAATATGCAACATTTTAACCATTTTTAATTTCCTATTATCTTGTTTTGAAATTCTGTATCATTGTTTTATTGTTTTTTTCTCTTTAAAATAAGTTTTAAAAATTAAAAAAATAAAATATATGCAATAGAATGAGTCAGTGTGAGAACAGAATATTACATATAGAAGATAGGATTGCAGGTAGCAACATGAAAGGAAAGATTTTTTTAAAATATATCAAACGACTATGACAAATCAATTGAGCAGTTGCTAGATGATGCAAAGAAGAAAAACATAAGATTGATCAGAGTCAATGAAAAGGCAAGAGATAGCACAAAGGACATAAAACCTCTGTTCACAGAAGTAATGGCAGAGAACTTCCCAAGTAGAGAAGAAGAATTTGATGTATAGTAAGTGAGGCATATAGAACTCCAATTAACCATGTTAAAAAACTATAGCAAGGAATATCATAGACAAGATTCTAGAAATTCAGCATAAGAACATAATATTAAAAGCTGGTAGAGAAAAGAAACAAATCACCTATAAAGGAAAGCTCATCAGAATCACAGGTGAGTTCTCAACACAAAACCTTAAGTCAAGGAGATCTCCTAGTGAAGTCTTTCAAGCC